ACACATATATTTATAGGTTCATTTTGTTTAATTTGCATCCGGTTAGCTCAATAATTGTTTTCAAATTGTATTAAGGCTAATAATTTGGGTTTAGCCGGGAACGTACCTGAACTGCAAAGGTGGCGCCCAGCTGCCCACCGTGAGTGGCAATGGCCGCGTGGCAAGACCATGGGGAAGAGACCTCCCGCCACGGAAAGCTCTGGCCTTCAGGTACTCCAGAGATAAACCTTTCTGAAGTGGAAAGACCTTGAAGCAACATACCAAGGAGGCCATATTTGGTGGTCTAGTCCCTGGCATTCTTCAGGTAATGAAGAATAAGGGCCAAAGAGCAGGAAGCAGCAAAGGAGGGGGCTGGAGGGTCCTCCAGAGAAAGATGGGCAGAGACCTCTAGTCTAGGGAGCTGGTCTGAGCCATTCCAGGAAAACAACAGCAGCTTCCTTCAAACTTTTTTATTACTGAAAATGTCAACATGCACAAAAGTAAAGCGGGCAGGGACTTGAAACCACAGGTCTCACCACCCAGCTTCAGTATCTAGCAACTCATGGCTGACCCTGTTTGTTCCAGTCCCTGCCCACCTGCCTCTTTCCCATATTATCATGGAGCAAATCCTGGACAGCCTAGCATTCCAACTGTAGACATTAGGCTCTATCTCAGAAGAATAGGTCTTTTCAAATACATAAAATACCATGATCATACCTAAAAACATTAACAGGAATTCCTCAATATCATTAGATAACCAGTCAGAGTTCCACTTTCCAATTGTCCTGTGAATGTCCTGGATGATTTTTTTTTTTTACAGTTTGAGTCAAGATGCAAATAAGTTTCACATGTTGTAACTGACCGATATGTTTCTTAAGCCTCTTTTAATTTCTAAGTTCTACCTCTCTCTCCTTCTCTCTCTTTCTTCCTATCACTATCTCTATTCTTCCTTTCACTCTTTCTTCCTATTCACTGTCTCTATTTATGTATCTATTGAAGAAGCCAGGTCACTCGTCAGGTAGAGATTCCCTCAGTTTGGAGTTTCGTGCCCGCATTCCTGTGGGGTCCCCTTTACACGTTCCTCCATCCCGTGTTTTTTGGAAACTGAATCTACAGCATTTATCAAACTCAGGTTTGATTATTTTGGCAAGACTACTTCATAATGGGTGAAGTGTGTATTTCCACCAAGAATTACGTAAAAGTAGTAATTTTTTTATTTGCTTGTTTCCTATTGCCAAACAAATATTCAATGTAAGCACTGAAAATAATCTAAAGGAAAAAAATGCAATACGATATATCCTTCCAGATATTTTACTATCTATATATGTTGTATTTTTCTTTCTCGTATTTTTTTTCATATAACGGGATCATGTGGCAAATTCTTGTTTTATAAATTGTTTTTGTCTCTTAACAAAATACCATATATATTGCTTGTTAAATCACTGAAATCTCGTGAAAACTCAAAAAGCAAGCTCACCTGTTATTTTACCCTCAAAATGAGTTTATTCAGAAATAGCCTAGATAATTGCAATTCAGGATACGAATGTCGTGGTGAACCACAGGCAAATGCAGAGAACAAAGCAGGGGAGCTGCTTTTATGGAGAAAAAGAGGGAGAGGCAGGAGCTGTTCTAAAGGAAAGTCCACAGGGAGGAAGTAACAGTTCAGGGTGGCAACAGCTTCTCATTGGCTGAGCGCTGGGCTGTTGCTGGGCGGGGAGAGAAATCTTCCCTTGGTGGGAAAGTAGTTGGACTTCCTGTGGAAGACGCAGGCATAGTCTCTTCCTGGTTGGAGTAATTGACGATGTGATAGGGTGTGACAGCTCCCCCTACTGGCCCTCCAGACTTGAATTTAGTTGAGGTTTCTCATTAATTTCACACTCTGTAAGCTGTTGTGAGTGAGCTTTCTAATTCTTCCTTTTATTAGAGCAGCTTCTCAAAATAATCTGGAGTTTTGGGTAGACTTTCTGTGCCAGACTCAAAATTTTGTCCACATTTTGAAGAGGAATTCCCTAATTTGCTTATTCCACATTCCAGCTTTTAAATTAATAAAAGTAATCATTCCTTTTGAGTCTGAATAATGTTTTCTTACAAATTATGAGAAAACAGTGATCTAAGATTTGCATTTTCCACTCACATCAAATCCTAGTACTGCCTTAATTGTCAGCAACCAGAGGTTTCCTGGAGCCTGAAGCTGGGGGCAGGGACCGCACCTCCTCCCTGAGCCCCACAGCCCAAGGGAAACAGTGAGACCCTCGTAAGCTTTAATTCCACTCTTTTCTCTCGTACTTTCTTGTAGCACCATTCCCCACCCCCACCCCAAGACCTGCTCTCTATGTCCAGTCTCAGAGCCCAGGAATCTGTGAGATCACAAAGAGCATTCCAGGGGAAGATTCTGGGCTGAGACCCAGAGGGAGCTTTGGTTTAAGGGAGGTAGAAAAAGAAAACCCGTTTGTGGAGTGCCTGGGTTTGCCTGCACGTTTATGTGTGTCAACTTATTTCATTTTCTCAGCTTCCCTAAGAAGCAGGCTTTACCCTTTCACAGACAAGAAACTCACAAGAGGCCACACAGCCTGCTGCAGGGCCAGAACTCCACCCCGATCTGCCTCATCCCAAAGCCCATACTCTTTCCACTGCATGTCTATCCTGAGTTTTAGGAAATCTGAATCTTCTGCTAAACCTGCTGATGACCTCAACCAGCTGGTTCAAGACCCCTTTCGGGACACCCCTGATAGATGAGGACCAGCCCCACAAGGTTAGAATGACAGGGACCCACACACCCACCCTTCTTTGGGCAACTTTGTAAATGGCAAACCAAGGGTCAGATTCAGGCAGAAGTTACCACTGGAGCTCAAATAACCGCTGTACTGGGAGCCTGGCTAAGAAATCATCCAGTCTCCTAAGGCTCTAATAATCCTGCAGGGTCAGTCGGGGTTATCAAAATTTTAGGGACAGAAAATCTGAGCCCCATGCAGGCTGAGTAGCTGCCAAAGACCGGGGAGCTGGATCCAACTCAGCCTGAGCACCTTATTTTCTACCAGCTGCCCAACATGAGCCCTAGGTCCCAATTCTCTGTGTGTTCTCCTGAGTCCCCTCTCACCTGCCCACTCCACCTGTGAAACCCAGGTCACTTCCCCACAGACCCGGGATGGTTCCTACTTCCTTGGACGCTGGGCAGCATTTCTCCAGTAGCCTGGTGGTGAAGGCGGGACCTCCCTGTGCTGTTGACAATTGTGTTCCCCTAAGGTCCCAGCAAGGTACTCTGGGAATAAAAGATGGAGAATAAATACTTGCTGAAATGCCTGTTCCTGGAAGAGGTGACAGCCCTGCTAACGTGAGCAGACATCGCTTATTTATGCGTAATGTTCCCGTTGCTGGGTGAGCAAGTGTATTTATCCACATCCCTTTCTTCACGTTCTAGTTCATACAGAACAGACCAAGAAACATTGGACCTATTCTGAGGTTTTTAATAAATTATGATTCAATCCCTGTCAGCTCAATTGGTCCCTACCTTCCTACCATTATTCTGAGCTCACTTTTCCTTTTCTGTTGTTGTTGACGAAATCGTGAATTCCATGGGCTCTACCATTGTGGGAAGGAGTGAGTGGTGGGGTGGGAGGTCTCTGCCCTCCAGCAGGTAGGGTGGGTCCTGGGAGAGCTGACCAGAGACAGGGAGCTGGCCGAGAATGAGGAGCCGCCAATTCCATTCCTTCTCCCTCCCCTTCTTGACAATGTATCTTCCTTTCTTCTCCTCTTCCCTTCTCCTGCTCATCTCTTTCTTGTCCTCAGTGTTGAGAGGGAGCCAGCAAACCACCTGGCTGAAGGTGAGGAATGAGGGCTAAGCGCCCTAATCGGCAAGACTGGAGAGGCAGGTAGTAACTCAGTAGTAACTGGAGAGTGCTCAGCTCTAAACACCGGGCCAGAAAGTGAGGACTTTATTTCAAACTGGGGGCACCAAGCAGAGTTACAGAGGAGGAAAGTGACATGCAAAAAGTTCTGGGTTTTTTTGGTGCAGAAGACCAGCCCTGAGCTAACATCTGTTGCCAGTCTTCCTCTTTTTGTTTGAGGAACGTTGTCACTGAGCTAACAGCTGTGCCAATTGTCCTCTATTTTGTATGTGGGATGCCACCACAGCATGGCTTGGTGAGTGGTGTGTAGGTCCGTGTCCAGGATCTGAAACCATGAACCCTGGGCCACCGAAGCAGAGCGCATGAACTTAACAACTACACCACCAGGCCAGCCACCAAAAAGTTCTGTTTTCAAAGGCTTAAAATGGCGGCTATGTTCATGACCCATGAAATGAAAGAAAGACAAGAGATTGGGAAGAGAGAAAAGAGGTAAGTTGTAAGGAGGCCACTGGAATTGTCCAGACTTGCAGCCATAACGGTGGGAGCTGGCAGGGTGCCAGTGGGCATGAGAAGGAAGAGACAAGCAATGGAGACGTGGCAAGACCTAGCAGCCAGTGGACAGGATGGCTGCAAACCCCTCCCGCGGGGGGCCCTCCTGGGTGAAGGTGGTCTTGTAGAGTCATAGATGGCTGGGCCTGGAGGGGACAGCACCTGGGTGAGGGTTGGCACTTTGAATGGACACAGGGAGTTCGAGGAAGCAACTGACCTGAGGCTAAACTGGTAGATTAGGTTGTGGATATAAACCCACGAGCCCTGTGAGTGCAAAACTGCAAAGGATCTTAGGGATCACCTAGATTACCAGCCTTCACACGTGCTCCTAGTTCCCTCAGGGACCTCAGTGGTGGACCAGGGCTATAAGGGAAAGGCTGAGCTGGATGTGGTCTGCTTCCTGATCCCCAAGCCCCACCCCTCAAAACACACCACTCAAAACACACCCCTGCTTTTGTTTGAATAAAGGGCTTTACAGATAAAGAAAAAAATTATACAGTCACATCAAAGTTTAAAGATGGGAAACTGAGGTCCACAGAGAACAGTAACTGTGCTGCCCTCTGATCAGCTGGCTTGGTTCTAGAACACCCAAATGGGTGTGTCCCACGGTCATTTGGAAATTTGGGCACCAACGTTCTCACTAATTTCTTTAGAAATCACAGGTTGTGGACCTACTGTACAACTGTCACTGCACTAACAGGATGCAGACACACTGTGCAAATCCGAAGACAGGGGTAGTCAGTAAAAACCAACCACTGCAGAACGGTAAGGAGGAACACGAATGAGAAAAGGAACGTGAGAATTAGGAGCAGGGTGTTCAAGGAGATTAAGGAGAAAGCGCGGGCTGTGGGGGTGGTTTTAACTCACTTGTGCTAGCCTCGTGCCGTGTTTCTTCCATTTTCTATGTTTTTATCCATGACTTCAGGAACTGAAGGGGGAGCAGTGTTCATAAGCAAGATGGCTCCAAATCAGAGACGCCCACTCAACTTTACTCCTCTTTGAAACCTGTAGATGCAACAGGTGGGAAACCCCAGCAGGAGGGCACCTGTCACATCTGAGCGGGTCCCCCTACCCCCCAGCCGAAGGCCAGTGGTGCTTTTCTAGGACCAGGATGCAGAGACCTTTCTTTACGGAGCCAGCAAAGTATTCACACTGATTTACCGTTTGGCATTGAAACTAATAACTTTTGTTTTTAATAATGACGGTTTGCTGAGCTCTGAAAAACCCTGGCTGTGATTTAGCTGTTGTAAACAGGCAGAAGTAAACAGCCCCCAATCAGTCGCCTAAGAGCAAATTATAAAATTGCTTTCTGTGTTTACAGAGGAGATCGCCTTGGTGGAAGTGTCATAATGATGAAGAGACAAGTCCCAAACAGTCATTTACCTTCAGCTGCACCTCACCTGATAGCTCCCAGTCTAAAATTGATGCTGCCTTCAGGTGATACGAGGTTTCCTCTTGCAAAACAATGGGGGCTTCTACTCTGGGAGAGTTGGCCCCTGCTCCCTCTGCTACACAACCCTCCACAGCTTGCAGACAGGCAGCCATTCCCGTAATGGCCTCATCCATCATCTCATGCTTTATTATTACACCCATTACCCAAGCAATTAGGAGCAAGTCGAGCCGGTCACGGAGCCCGAGACATGTAAACTCTTATGAACAAGAGGGAGGGCACAAGCCTTCTGAAGGAGGTCATTTCCACAACAAATGATAATCCTGCAGGCCTCTGGCCCCCAGGGGTGATCGGTGGATCTGGTTCTGACACGTTAAATACAGAGCCAGGCCAAAATGAGGCCTCGAGGGACCACACGCTGGGGTGGGGACGAGAAGATAGGCACAAAAGGGAGACGGCTTCCAACAGGCACCCCATGGGTACCTGCCTTCTTCTGGTTTTAAAGAAAAAGAAAAGGCAGCAATGATGAGATAGCAAGACAAGAGACCGACACAGAATAAGGAAAATGATTAAAAGTCCAGAGCTGGAGGGAAGTTCAAGGCCAAGCATATCCCCTCCATGCCCCAAGTCTCTGGAGCCCCTTCTTTAGACAAGCAGGCTCCTGTGGCCAGGCTCAGACTCAAGGATTTCCCTTAGCAGTGCTCAGTGCTGCCCTGCTGCTTACAAGGGCTCTTGCTCTCCTCTGGGCCCCCTCACAATCTCAAGGAGCTCTGGATGTTGTGCATCCCCGACAGGGCAGGGCTCTCTCCCACAGTCTCCCAGCTGGACCCCAGAAGCCCCCCTCCCTCAGCAGACCCATCCACTCCTCTCTATCTCCTGCCATCCCTGGCGGTTCTTCAAGCACATCGGGGCTGTTGTCGGCTGAACTGTGTCCCCCTAAAATCGATATGTTGAAGTCCTAACCCCCAGCTCCTCAGAATGTGACTGTATTTGGAGATGGGGCTTTGAAGAGGTGATCAAGGTAAAATGAGGTCATTAGAGTGGGCCCTGATCCCATATGACTGGTGTCCTTATGAGAAGAGGAAAAGTCACCAGGGAAGTGTGCACAGAGGAAAGACCTCTGTGAGGACACAGCGAGAAGGCAGCCGTGTATAAGCCAAGGAGAGAGGCCTCAGGAGCAGCACCCTGCCCACACCTTGATCTTGCACTTCCAGCTTCCCGAATTGTGAGAAGATAAATTTTGGTTGTCGAAGGCCCTCAGGCTGTGGAGTTTTGTTATGGCAGCCCTGGCGGACTAAGGCAGGGTTCCCAATCCTCACCCAGCTCTGGAGACTCCTCAGACTCTGGCCACCTCCCCTCACCACCCACCCCTCCACACTCCATTTCCCACCTGTCCCCTGCTCGCCACCAGCCTCCTCCTCTCCAAGCCCTACCTACTGCCCATGGAGCTTTCCAGAACAGGGGCTACTACTCCACCACTGGACTGTAAAAGTCCTGTGCAATCTCTTTGCATCTAATTCTTGCCTCCCAAACTGAGTCTTAAGAATTCCTTAAGACCCGAAACCATGTGCTCTGCATCCTCTGCAGCACCTTATATGCATAGGCATAAAGGGCAGTGGGGGAATTTTTTCAGTACCTGGGAGGGTTGGTCTGCACAGAAACAACTGATCAGTTATAACATTCAAGTTTATCAACAGTGATGCTCTTTATTGAGTATTCTCTTACTAGTAAGCATCTCTCTTCTAAATGCTTTACATGCATTCACTCATTTAATCCTCACAAGTGTCCACAAGGGATCCACCACAATGATTCCCCTTTACAGACAAGCGACCTGCCAAGAGGTAAGTGACCCAGACAGGATAGGAAGGAACAACAAAAATAAAGCTTTCTCTTTCCTGGGTCACAAAGACCCAGGGGTGGAGAGAACCCCAAGAGGTGAGCTGCCCCAGGTCCTCCAACTCTCCAGCAGGTAAACTTCCAACTCTTTAGAATGAAGTGGTGTCCATTGGCTGTTGTTTTCCACATATCTCCATGGTTAGAAATTTCATCTGTCTGTCCTTCTCTCCTGCCCTTATTTTTAAAGTATTATACTTAAAAATGTTAATTTCTAAAATATTTTATGTATGTAGATAGAGATAGAGATCCTTTTTATGAGTCATGTTTTTCTTCTTCTTTCATTTGCTCCCCCATCCCTCTTAGGCTGATGTTTCCTAAGTGTGCCCAGACCCCAGACCAGGCCTGGTGAATCAGACCCTCCAGAAGACGAGCTGAAGAGTCTGTGGTACAGCAGCCCCTCGGTGATTCCTGCTCTGTCAAGTTCAGGAAACACGAGACCATGGTGATGAGTCCACCATACGGCAACTGCCTTGGCTCTCTGGGGCACTGCCTTGAGAGGAATGCTCAGTCTGTGCCATCTCTCCACGAGAGGTGCTGTTATCTACTGATAATGTCCATCATGAGAAGGGGACTGGGAAATGGTGGCCTGCATGTCCCAGGGGGGACCCTAAGTCATCAATGAAGGGTTCACACTGTCATGGTCTGCATTCTTGCTGTCTCTAAGAATTTAGCTCTACTATATTAGGCTTATCCATCAGTTCCCCTTGGAATAGTTTCCTCTTCCCTTTTAAGATTTCTGCACATCCTTCCTAAAATATGTAGAGGACAGACTATCTAAACTTTGACCATGATATTTCTCTGTTTCTTTTTCACAGCACGTAGGCATGTTAGGGTGCCACAGTGGGGGACATCTGGTCCCCAAGGGCAGCATTACCTGGGTGTCCCTACCACTCCAAGCCACAGTGGATCATTACCAGAGCCCAGGGAAGCGAAATATGGGCTCCTGTGCACAACCTAGTACCCACAGCGGGGAAACTGCCCCAGCGGCCTTACTGCCAACATGGAGCTCAACAGCAGAAGAGCTCTCTCTGTGTCCAGGGAGTCATACCTCTTTGAATACCTCCTAATTTTAGATTTGCTTACTAAAACAGCTGCTTATGACCCACCATCCTCCCTGATTCTGCTCCTTGCTGAACTCCAGCCAGACAGTCTTGTAGGGCCACTTCCCCAGTTTGGGTTCATGTTCAAGTGACTATTTCTGTTCATCATCTCGGATGAGCCAAATTCTGCATTTCTGACCTTTCTCACTGAGCCCTCCTAACTCGCTTATTCTCTGTTCTGCCTGGCTCAATGCCTTGCCTTCCAGAGGTTTGCCTCCTCTCACTCCCACACTTCCTTGGCATTGACCAAGAGGCGTACCCCCTGCCCTGCCTCCCGCAGCAAGGAGTCCACAGCTGGCCTTTCTCCCCCGCTCTCCTCCACAGCTGCAGCCCCTCAGCCCTCCTCCACTCAGTGGGACAGAAGTGCTGGAGCAGCACAGCTCTTGGCTCAAAGTCTCGGGCTGGGAGAGCCCAGAGCAGCAGGCTTTGCAATGAAGCCATAAAAGGTCAAACGTATACATACCTTGAGCTGGAAAGACACTGAGGTGGGGGCAAAGGAGGTTCTGGGAGAAAAGCACTACATTCTAGCTAGGGATAAAAGAGTCATAAATAAATTAAAGGCATGAATTACAGAATCAGGAAGGAAGAAAATGGAAAGGACATCAGCTTGTCATAAAGGGACTAATGCCCAAGAATTAAGAATTTGCCAAAAATTCACTCAGCTGACAAATCTAAGAGCAGGTGCCAGCCTAAGGATGGTGGAGGGGCATTCCTGAACAAGTAAGACTGAGAAAGGGTCATGTATTTTGGCTCAAAAACACAATAAAAACAAAAGTCTAGGTATGAAAATAAGATCCTTGAAAGAAAAAATTGATAAGTTGGACTTCATTAAAATTAAAAACTTCTGCTCTGCAAAAGACCCTGTCAAAAGAATGAGAAGACAAGCCACAGAAAAGGAGGAAATAGTTGTAAAACACATGTCTAAGGAAGGACTGGTATCCAAAATATAGCCCGCTCTCATGGTCTAGTGGTTAAGACTCAGCACTCTCACCACCAGGGCTCGGGTTCCTTTCCTGGCCAGGAAACCACACCATCCACCTGTCAGTTGTCATACTGTGGTGGCTGCAGGTTGCTGTGACACTGAAAGCTATGCCACTGATATTTCAAATATCAGCAGGGTCACCTACGGTGGACAGGTTTCATCAGAGCTTCCAGACTAAGGCAGACTAGGAAAAAGGACCTGGCCACCCACTTCCAAAAAACTTGACCACAAAAACTCCATGAATAGCAGTGGAGCATTGTCTGATATGGCACTGAAATGTAAGAGGATGGTGCAAAAAGATTGGCAGGTTTCTGCTCTGCTGTACACAGGGTCGGTAGGAGTTAGGATCAACTTGATGGCACTAACAATTCAAAATATACAAAAAACTCAAAGTGCAGCAATAAGAAAATGAACAACCTTATTTAAAAATGGGCAAAAGACCTGAACAGACACCACCAGCGAAGAAGATATTCAAATGGCAAAGAAGCTCAACGTCATATATCATTAGGGAACTGCGAATTAAAACAATGAGATACCCTGTACCCCTAACAGATGACTAACATCCAAATGCTGACTACTTCAAGTGCCGAAGAGGACCTGGACAACAGGAACTCTCAGTCACTGTTCGTGCGAATGCAAAATGGTACAGCCACTTTTGGAAGACAATTTGGCAGCTTTTTATAAAACTAAACATACTCTTATCATATGACCCAGCAATCACACTCCTTGGGATTTCTTCAAATGAGCTGAAAACATGTCCACACAAAAACTTGTGCATGAAAGTTTATAGCAGCTTTAATTATAATTGCCAACATGTGGAAGCAACAAAGATGTACTTCAACAGGTGAATGGATACACAAACTGTGTCACATCCATACAATGGAATATTAGCCAGCGACAAAAGGAAACGAGACATCAAGCCACAAAAAGACATAGAGGAAACGTAAATGCATATGGCTAAGTGAAAATATCTGTGACATTCCAACTATGTAATCCTCCGGGAAAGGAAAAAATTGAAAGACAGTAAAAAGATAAATGGTTTCCAGGGATTCAGGGTCTGGGAGAAGGATGAATGGGTGGAGCACATGGGAATTTTAGGGCAGTGAAACTATTCTGTATGATACTGTAATGATACATACAAGTATCATACATTTGTCAAAACATATTCAAATTCAAAGAGTGAATCCTAATGTAAACTATAGACTTTAGTTAATAATAATGTATCAAGATTTGCTCATCAATTGTAACAAATCTACCACATCAATGCAAGATGTTATTAAGAGGGGAAGCTGGGGCTGGGGGTGTGTGTCTGATGAGCAAAAGGAAAGAAAACAATGTTCTCAATTAGCACTAAGATTAAAGGGCTCTTGGTTTCATTTATTGACTTGAAAGTTTCAAATCTTCCCATGGGAAGTGTTTGCAAACTGGACGTGACAATTTTCCCTACTCTATTTTTAATATCTGAGGTAATGGAGAATTCTGTCCAATCTATGGGTACACATTTACCGCCCACCTTTACAAGTAGGCATAGTTTCTGCCTGGAACCGCCTTGGCTCCCCGCTGGCTGTCACAAGACACCTCACTCAGCGACTCACCAAGAGCAGATGCCCAACGATCACCACTTGAGTCATGCAGCCCGGATTCAAACCTGCCTGCCCTTGAAGCCATGTCACGGGTTCCTCGCCTATAAACCGACCTGCCTCAGGGACGTTTTGTGAAGTTTAGATGATAAAATCCACCTCAGTGGCTCCATGCCCTGCAGAGAATTTTTTCATGAAATCAACGATTCTAATTGTGTTGGTCCAGCGTAGGGTCCAGACTTTTTTGTTTAAAGCTTTCCAGGGGATTCTAATATGACGTTAGGGTTGAGAAACATTGATTTATAAGGTACTTGGCACATGTAGTAAGCACTTCCTAAATGCTGTCATAATTATTATTATCCTTACATTGGCATCTCACTCATGCATTCACTCATTCAAGTGGCCCATTGCAGAAGTCAGCAACAAGTAATGGGAAAAAGCCAGAGGAAATTCTCTTCACTTCATATCCATCATTGAACCACTAAAGTGTCGGGAACTGCTGTGCAGAACAACAAATAATTGATTAAGGGAAAAAAATGTGTAAAACTTCTTAGAGGTGGCACCTGCTGTGCCTGTTTAATTCGAGCTCAAACGAGCCCTTCCTCTGAGATCCCGGTTGTGGTAAACGGAACAAAACCTCCACCCGCCAGAGGAGCGGGCGTGGGGTCTCCAGCCTCAGATGTGAGCTCACCAGGAGGAGGGTTGTTCTAATTACTGTCAGCTTCCCTGGGCTCACCTCCATCACAGTGAGAGTTAGCAAGGGAGAGGGGTACTTTCCCAGAGTCAAGGGCTGCGTGCAGGGTCCTTCTGATTTCTCGGAAGTCATCTGTGTGCACGCATTCCCTGGAGAAGCCACAGGTGCTAAGGCTCTGAGACCAGAAAAGTGTATCCTCAGTAATAAGGACTTAGGAATGAGCGGTTTGTGTGATTGGGTTCATAGTTTGGGAGGAGTATTCAGGAGCGTTGAAACTGGGACCCTTATGCAAACTTCCTAAAGACCCTTCCCCAGGGCCAGTTAAAGTTTCATCTGGAATAAGGCACTCTGGGTCACAAAGCCTCTGAGTCACGGGACAGCCTCCCGTCATCGTTCATGAGTGGGAGTGTTCTTACGGGTCTGTTGGGGCGGGCTGCCCCTTTACCCCCAACTGGGCCACTGGGCTTCAGTTACTGCAGAATCTGAACACAAGCTCTTCAACCGCACTTGGAATGTCAGTCGATTTCCATTATTCTCATGATAATATTTGAGGGGTTTTTGATTCAATTAAATTACTCTTAGTACCTCCCAGTCCCAGGGAATGTTCTGAAGGGAAAAGAGCTCAAAGCCATAAACTTAGAAGGTCCTTCCTGGGAAAAGAGGGCCAGTTAAACACATGTCGCTCCAGATCCACCCTGGATCCAAACTCTAGCAAGAGGGTTTCATTTTTTGAAGAAGAAGAAGATTAGCCCTGAGCTAACATCTGCCACCAATCCTCTTTTTGCTGAGGAAGATTGGCCCTGAACTAACATCTGTGCCCATCTTCCTCTGCTTTCTATGTGGGACGCCTGCCACAGCATGGCTTGATAAGTGGTGTGTAGGTCCACACCCGGATTGGAACTGGCAAACCCCGGGCCCAGGAAGCAGAGCACAGGAAGTTAACCGCTACACCACAGGCTGGCCCCAAGCCGGTTTCATTTTTTAACAAAAACAAAAATAAACAAAAAACCTCTCATGCAGGTGTGAAGAATAGGAGAGACTATTGCAGAACATTTTGGAAGCTGGAGGGAAGTAGACAAGTGGTAACTGACTGAGTGGGCTCTGAAAGTTGAACTCGGGCAGAGAAAGCCTAAAACCAACCTGGTTCACCCAGAAAACCCAAGAGGATGGGGATGGTGGCCCAGGAAGCTCCCGAAGTGAAGGAAGGCAGGAAGGGGTTTAAAGGACGAGGTGGTACGGAATGTCGGTTACAAGGCAGTGAGGCACCGATTCCCT